AGTTAAGTTACATATATATATATATATATATATATACACACACATACAAGTTAAGGATAACAAGTGACCTGTAGGTCCATCTAAGCCATCCCATCCACTATACTAAACTCTAAAATAAAAGTGAAACAATCAAAGCCAGCCTTTATTATTCCCTCAAGCTTCTTCAAACTGCATCTACCTCATCTGGAGACAACCCACTCCCTGTTAGGAAAATAAATCTGTTGAAGATGACTACTACCCTACCAAAATTTATACTTGTATCCCCTAGTCTTACTATTAAAAAAGAAAATGTATGATGCATCAACACTGTCAATTCCCTTTACAATCTTAAACACCTCAATGAGATCCTCTCTAATTTATCTTTTTTTTAAAGAGAAAACAATTTTAAAAATCTTAACCTATCCTTGTTCACAACCTATCTGTTAGATATACATGACTGTTTCCATTTAAGTTTAATGCAAGTGTTATGATTTAAATAGTACAAGTGTTAAATTTAGTTATTTTTAGATGTGATAGTCTATTGCAAGTTTGTTTTTGCAACTGTTTACAAATCATACATTGTGTAGTTCATTAGTTATGAATTGGTGATTCTTGTATTATTGCATCACGTTACTCGAACATTCTGAGTTTTTCTTGTTGTTTTAATTTAGTATCATTGCATCATAATATTTAGTAGTGTGTGGAACATTCTAGACCTCTGTTGGGGGTATAAATATGCATCACAAACGTACTTTGATTATAGATAGTTAGATCTAGACTGTGTGATTGTGAATTTAGCCATAAAGAGCATAGAGTGACAATTTTTTAAGCAAAATTATCACAGATTGTATTGTAATAACAGTAGAATAATTTGTCTTGTCAAATTGTGTTCTAAAGTAACTGAACCAGCCTGTGTAGACTTTGAAAAAGAGACAATTATTTAAAGATCTGGGTTCAACTGTGATAACTAACAGTGTAACGAATATTTATATACGTTTGCTTTGTTTTAATATACATTTATTTTAAAACAAGTGGACTACTTGTTTGTTGTTGAAATCTATTGCCAAGTCACAGTTATCTACTGTAAAAAATCCAGCCCATGCATAAAACCTGACACTATCTATCCCATGTAACATCCTAGTAGTCCTCCTCTGAATCCTTTCCAACAAATGAATGTTATTTCTAAGGTAAGGAGCCAAGACTGAACACAATACTCTAAATGTGGCCTAACTAATAACTTATACAATGACATTATAACCTCTTTAGACTTGTATTCATTATTCCTGTAGATACAATCTAAAATCATATTTACTTTACCAATAGCAACAGTACATTGCTGATTAACAAGAACACCAAGTTCTTTTTCTTCCATAACATTTTTAAGGTTATTCCCATCAAAATTATCATACTATAATTCTGCTTGTTAGTATGCATTATAAACACGTGCAGTAAGAATTTTACCCAAGTAAAACAGCACAGGTGCATTATGAACTTGACAACAACCAGCCTGCCCTCTGCAGGGAGCTGCAAAGCTCAGTGAAAAAGTTACTATAATTGCTCTATGAATTAAGGAATAACAACAAAAGGTGGATGTAAATATACTCTAGTAACTATTTCATACAACAACATTAATAGCTTAAAGTTTTTAAAAAGGTATGATGTTAGGTCATTGAATAACGTTACAAGTTTATTTATTGATAGTATTAAGTACAGTAAAGTTTAGTCCTAACTAAACTAAAGTAAAAAAACTTACACAGGTTACAGTGTTAATTTATCTCTTTTTCAAACTTAGGCCATACTTTATAAAACCTTAACTAATATTAGGCCTAAGACAAGTGGACTTGCACATTTCAGTGTCTATGATTACAATTAGTTTATATTATTCTAGAAATCATGTATTTAAAGAAGTACTACTGCAATAAAGATACTAATTCGACTGCAAATGTTTTGCACGTCTCTGCTAGTACTCATAATTCAAATAATCCCACATGCATTACCTTGCATTTATTGTAATTAAAACCCATCTGTCATTTATTTGCCCAACTTACTAAATGATCTAAATCCTATTGTAAATAAGCAGAATCCTCTTCACAGCCAGCAACACCGAAAACTTTAATACCGTCAGCAAATTTAAATAATTCATTGACCATTCCTTTATCTATATCATTGAAATCAATCAAAAAGAGCAAAGACTGAGCCCTGAGGTACGCCACTTGTGGCATTAATACAGTTTGACTGAACTCCATTTGTAACAACCCTCTGCTTTCTTCCATCCAGCCACTCTTCTATCCAATATGCTAACCTATCCTCCACAACTATACAGATATTTTTTTTTTACAAGCCTTTTATTATGGCACTTTGTCAAATGTTTTCTGAAAATCAGTATACACCAAATCTACACTCTTACCCTCATCTGCATAAGCAGTAACCTTTTCAAAGATTGTCAAAAGATTTGTAAGGCAAGATGTT